CTGATAAATGTATACAAAATTTAAATGTTCCGCATTCTATACATTTGTCAGATGATTATTTTACAATTATACAAATGTCATAATTAATTACTAATAGATTAACCTGATCTAATATTTAGTGGCATTTAAATTAATTGTGATTGTTTTACTGGTAAAAATCATTGAATACAAAAACACTAATGGAATAATATAAAGAGAAAAGTTTTTGAAAGCGGTAGAAAGTAGGCAGAAATATCCTGTCATATTATGATGTACATCAACGTATTACAATTAAAATTCGACACCATAATGAACTCGAAAACATTAAGTTTCACTTCCGTTGTACTCCTATTTCAATGGTTCATTTGAAAAGTAGTCGACAGTTCTTCCAATTTCGGTCGGCGGTCTCAAGTATTGTCACAATTGTCTATTATACCTCAATCTACATTAGTTCTACAACTGATATCAGAAAATGCTCAACACACACACACACTCTCTCTCTCGATTGAACACATCTCCACAAATCGTGTATGTGAACAACTACAATGCTAACAATTCATTTCACACTCATTTCATTATCAATGAAACCAACCAAACAGTAAATCATTAGAGAATAAACAGTCATCGCCTAATTCAAATAAATCATTTCGAAGTAATGAATTAGAAATAGTTCATTGGAAATTACTGTCTTATTTAGCCTATTGTAAACATCCTAAACTTTCCATTTTCTATTCTATTTCATTTCATTTGAATAAATTTAATAATCATTCAATTAAGCGATAGTTATGTCACATATAAATGGGTTGTAATACTAGTAGTAATGGTATCATTATTATTATTATTACTGTTATTAGTAGTAGTAGTAACAGTCAAAGTAAATTGTATTACTGTGGTAATTGTTTCATAATAAATGTTAATTATTTTGTAAAGATCCATAGGACAGATTAAATGAAATAAATATGATATCTCATTAATTTGAAAAGGTATAATTAAGACATTATTCAGTGACCGATTACTTAGATGGTTGAAGGTAATCGATAGGTAAACTTAACTAATCAGTTTTTCGTGCTATTTATTGTGAAGCAGAAAAGTATACCTTCCATACTTCAGTAACTGATGCTTCTTGTGTGATTTGATCTCATATTAGCTTGCCTCGAAGTTTTAGACGTAAGTTCTAACTTATTTGTTTACGATTCATCTCGTACGGTATTGGGATATTTACAGTGAACAAATAAGTGAGTAATCCCTAATGGTATACTTTTCTAATCCTTTAGTATTGATTGAATTCCATCGATTAAGTGGTTATGTACTGGCCTCTAGTTTAAGTGGCTTGATTTCGAGTCTACAATCTTTAGATGTTCTGTGATTAGAATCAGTAGAGTCAGCAAAACCAATAGCCGCTACACTAATTCTTGACCTATAGAATTCGATCAATACTAGAGAATTTATTAAACATTACGCAGTCCACTACTAAATGATTAATTCATTATACACATTTAGATAATATTTACTTCATATCAACTATTTATCTTAATTTATTAAGTACTCAAATCAATATTTAATCTTAATGTCTCCCAGTTTTTCTTAGTCATGTTGACGACTATTTGAATTTAAGATAAAGATCTTAGTAAACACTTAGAAAAAAACACTTAAATTTATCAAATTCATCTTGAACTAATGACTTCATTTCAATGATCAATTCATCGTTGGCTCTGATAATTTAAGTTTATCTGAATAGAAGACTATATAAACAACAATATTGATGAATGATTTATGAAAAAACAAACACATCATAAATCAGAAGGGGTTTGGTAGAGATTGTAGTAATTTCAATAGTAGAGATCATGAGTCAATTGAAACTATACCACCATGGAAAACGTAGAAGTACTGGACAGCCATTTCGTCCTATTGTGGTATTCATTGGTAGTGCATATACAGATGGAACTCGAACCTAGGATATTCGGTTTCTCGTGTGAACAGTTATTATCTAGACCAGTGAGTTGGTGTCCAACAATGTTGGTGTCTAACTGCGAGGAATTCACGAAATTGAGTGATACATCCACCATTGTCTTCAATAAGTTACTATCTCACAACCGACACAGTTGAACTCCACTGGTCAGTGCTTCTCATTATAGTGAGAAAATATTTCTCGGAGACTGTCAATGTAAGCATATGTTGATTGTTATCAGAAGACGTTTTTGTGGAAATTATAGTAATTTAATAGTTGAGTTCATGAGTCGATTAAAGCTAGACTGTCATGGAAAATCTGTAAGCACTGAACAGCCGTTTCATTCTACCGTGGGACTACTCAGTATTAAGCATCCAGTTCTTAACAATTTTTTTTAACAATACGCCTATAATAATCTCAATTTGTAAGTTTGATCAGTTAGATAAGGAAGGAACAGTAGTGATATGTCCATTTTTTTTCGAATTTTCATTGAATTCAGCAAATACTCTTATAGGTTAAATGTATTTTGATTAGATCCCAGCTTATTATTAACTTCTATGAGGTATTTGTAAACATCTAAACTTTACTCATTCAGCTTCATTAAAAAAAGCTTATTGAAACTGAAGAATTACATGTCATAGATTCTATCAAGTTGTTTGATTTGTGGCTAAATATAAATATTTTTTTTTAATTCCCAAGCAAAATTTAATTCAATCATTGCCGAATCATTACAAATTAAGTTAAAATTCATACTTAATGCACATATGTATGGTTATTTGGACTTAGTAGTTGAATAGATAAAGCATTGAATATGATGTTCGTATTCTGGAGTAAATATCAACTCTGAGGTGCACGTACACCTGATTAACAAACCTATAAATAGTTCGAAACCTGAGCTGTAGATTTCATTTTTAGTCACATGCTGTGTAAACTAAATCACTATAAAATCAGTTTAACTTACGCCTGTTACTCCTCATAAAGGAGCATAGGCCGCTCATCAGCATTCTCTATCCAGATATGTTGCGAAGTGATTTGTCACAATATTCCGTGATCAAGCATAGGTCCTTTACATATAAAACTTTGTCACATATACTTTCTATAGGATTAAAACTACCCACTGTTGGAAAAGATTTGTAGCTCAGGTGGATGATTTTGGTGGAGTTTTGTTCTCTGAGCTGGATGGTTTGGTCGTGGAGCCTTCATCGTTCTTCTGAACGACATCATCAGCACAAAAATTCAGATAGAAGGACTTCCATCTGAATTTTTGTGCTGATGATGTCGTTCAGAAGAACGATGAAGGCTCCACGACCAAACCATCCAGCTCAGAGAACAAGACTCCACCAAAAACTCCCCCACTGTTATTCATATGTTTTTCTATTTATGTTACTAAAGTACAACTATACATTCAAATATATCACTGTATATAACAACTTGATATTCCTGATAATATTATTTGATAAATGAACAAAATAAAAACTGATATTAAGATAATAATAAGAAGAATAATTCATAAAGCAACATAAAGGGAATAAGTCAATTTCTATTTTGTTCTGAGAATATAACCCCCTAAAGATAAAATCTATTATGACTAACGTTTAAAGTACACTTAAGAATCAGAAATAATCTACAGTAAACAAATGAAATTGAATAATTTGAAGAAAAAAATACACGGTTAGTTATTGTATAGAAAAAAACAAACAAATAGCGAACAACATTGAGAATATTACACAAGTTAATCGTTATCTTGGCAAATTTATGAGTTTACTAACTTTATCTACAATAATATATATATATATATATATATATATATATATATATATATATATATATATATATATATATATTCACTTGGTGTTGTTTTACTTCTATCTTCCCATTGTTATTTAGGACTGAAATTGATCAGTGTCATGTTGGCATATGTGTATCATGTGCGGATTGCCTCGATATTGTCTCAAGTCGCAAGCTTTTTTTCGAGTCTCGGAGGGAACATCAACTCTGAGATGCAGATGCATTCAACTGAAGAGTCTCAAATAGGGCGAAACACGCGTCCTAGATCCCACTGCTAGCCACTATTCATCTTCGCTTAATAATATATTAGTATCAGAAGGGGGTCTGTGGAGATTGTAGTAATTTCAATAGTTGAGATCATGAGTTAACTAGTTGTGAGATAGTAACTTATTGAAGACAATGGTGGATTTATCACTCAATTTTGTGGATTCGTCGCAGTTAGACATCAACATCGTTGGACGCCAACTCACTGGTCTAGATAATAAGAGTTCACGCAAAAAACCGAATATCCTAGGTTCGAGTTCCATGTGCGAAATATTGAGTGCGCACTACCAATGAATACCACAATAGGACGAAATGGCTGTCCAGTACTTCTACGTTTCCATGATGGTATAGTTTCAATTGACTCATGATCTCTACTATTGAAATTACTACAATCTCTACCAAATCCCTTCTCATTTATGATGTGTTTGTTTTCCCATAAATCATTCATCAATATTGTTGTTTATATAATCTTCTATTCAGATAAACTTAAATTATCAGAGCCAACGATGAATTGATCATTAAAATGAAGTCATTAATTCAAGATGAATTTGATAAATTTAAGTGTTTTTTTCTAAGTGTTTACTAAGATCTTTATCTTAAATTCAAATAATAGTACATGGTCGTGTAGATTGTTGAATTTCATTTATATCAAGAACCGGTCAAAATTAGAAAACCATACTGACGATCTTCACAACCCTTTACTGGTAATTATCATATGTTCATAAGTGACTATCTTCAGAAGGAAATCTTCGGGGTTCTATTGAATTTATGTTAGATGAAAGGTTATATGTTCTATTTCTAATTGTAAGATCGTGAATACTGAAAATTCTCATACGAACACAGCTATCCATTCCTTTCAGGCTTTTAGTGGTAGTCTAGTATGACTAAGATCTGTCTATGATGCATATTATAGAAAATGGATATTACCAAAATTTGAACCAATTAATTTATTTTTTGAAAAAAAATGAAAACATCCCTTCTTCCACCCCCCAGAAAAAAACAAGTTGAATGAGTAACTTACAGCTTCAATGACACAAGGTGTAGTTGGTTCACATTTGTCTTGGATAAATTGTTGTAAAATTACATCATCTTTGAAACTGGCACGTTTTGTATAAATATTATATGTTCCAAGTGTAGCTAAATTTATGGGTAATTATTCAACAATAACAAACAAAAAGAATATAAGTCAGTGTTATTATTGCAAACAGTATTCATAAATGTTAATAGGAATTGTAAGCAATGGTGGATAATGGCTATCAGTGGAATCCAGACAATACCAAGTGAATGTTAATAGTAATGTTGATAATTTCCTAACCATTACACCATTCATACATTACAAGTTGCAAATAATAAACTAACATAAATAGATTATCACTATAAAGGATTTGTAGAGATTGTTTAATTACATACTTGTCAGAAAGGGCATCGGCCTCGTGACTTCCAAAGGAACTCGGCTTTCATCATGAGACGTCATAGTTCTCCTAAATGAAGACTTTCTGGCTCCCAGGGCTGAGTTTAAAAGGTTTGAATAATTTTTTCTGGTTAGCGTTTTTTAGCGAGTTAGTTTTCTACGGGATGGGATCGCTAACCTAATGCCAAACCCTCCTTCTTTATCCGGGCTTAGGACTGGCAGTAGCCCCCGGATGGACTCCAGGCAGAGTTGTTGAATTACATAATTTACATAAATAACTAATGTTATTTAGATAACCATTGAAAACTGAGAATTTGTGAATATCTGTTTTTTATCTAAGTATGGCAATGTATATTAAAGACCTAAGTGAAGATCGAACACATAACCTTCATATTTCATGAAAAGTGCATTGACTTTGAACTATGGATTCGGTATTCAATGGTCAACATTTCTAATCAAGTCCAATGTCAGACATTTAACCACCAATGACATTGTATAAAGGGTAAGAAGTATAGAGAATTGATTGGAGTTAGGCACAAAATTCAGTACATAACTAAGCAGTAGTTTAAGAGTAAAAAGCTCACAGCAAAAACCTGAAGGTTTTGGGTTTAATCCTCAGTACGATCTTGGATGTTCAGTGTCAAAGAGTCGTAGGACGAAACAAATGTCTCATGCTTCCTGATTTTCATGGTGTTTTTTTTTGACTAAAATCAGTCCATATTTATTTAAAAATATGACACTTAACAACTTCTACGAACCTCATAGTAAATATATCCAACCAATTAGTAGTGTGTATTTTTTGCGCCATTCACAAATATCTAAGCTATTCGAAATAGGGATTTTTGTTTAAATATCATGGGAAATAAAGTGATGGGATTATACTCAGTTCAAGGTTGAATGAAATTGATTTTTTTCTACTTTGATTACTGGTTGTTAACTTAATGCATAAAATAAAAAAGCCACCTATGATGAATAGAATTATTTATTGTAGTCAATATCGGACATTTTATAAATTACATTTACTTTTAAAAAAGGATACTGGAGAAGAGAAAACATTTATTATCATGGAGATTAATTAGGTTTTGTATAGATGAACTGAAACTAAGTTGCATACGTCAGAAGGTAGAGATTTAGTGATTTAATATAACGGAAAGCAGTCACCAATATGATGTTGTGGAAATTGTTGAATTCAATTGAAACCGTAAACCGATACAAGTTTAAATGAAACACTGAAAATCTAACAGTAGTGCACGCTCACAACCCCTCAACCAATAATCAGATTCAGAATTTTCGGTTTCTCACGTGGACGCTTAACCTGTAGAACATTTGGTCATTACTCAGTGGTGTACAAGTCTCATTTAAACCACTCCATCATATTGAACGACCATCTTTCATTGTCTTCAGTTGTTAACTTCCTCATACCCGACACGCACGAACTCCACTGATCACGGACTCTCACTAAAAATGTTTCATTGATTAATCACCGATTCGAAATCGAAAGTGTATGCTTATCTACTCTCTTCTGTCTCTGCCAAAACAAAATGTGGCATCAGTACTTGAAGTCACTAACTTCTAGTCTTATCCATGTTGGTAGATGCAGATTACTTGGTTGGAGTCCGCGTTACTATCGTAACCAATGGTTGGAGACTCTAAGTGATATGGCTCAGAATCGATCACAATGCCATAGATGTATACATTCTCTATCTTCCCTTAAACTAAGAGATTAAAACCGCTTCATATCTTTCTTTCTACGAACTAAATCTTTCTTCCTGTTCTATACCCTTACACACAATCCTTTTTTTATATATTACTATCATAAAAGTAACTTAGTCTATAAATTCAGTGTTCATCTTGTAATGATAATGAGGTGTGGCAACTTGGACTGATGCATATACGTTCCTGATCCTACGTTGTAGCTAACTGACTGACAAACACATTTACAAATAGATATATGTATGGGATTAAAGAGTAAGTCACGTTACAGTGTATAATTAAATAATTAAAAGAAAATCCGTTGAAATACTTATGGATAATATTTATTCTCAACTCTATTGCTTCTAATTCTATTGAGATGAATATCTGTAAAGTTTTTTTTTTCTTTAAGGTTGAATAGCCAAGAAATTCGGTTAATAATGCAATTTCATCAGTTTGATTCATCTCAGGTGTAAAATTGAAATTTATACATGTCACGTTTCATATAAACAATTTCAAGTGAATACTTGAAGTCAATAAATTTAATATGAATCTTCTATTGACTCATATTTCCTTAGATTTCAATTCTATAATTAACTTTATAACTGTAATGGTTTAGACTAACGTGTGGTTGATATTTTTACAAATAATTGATGAGTTTTAGTTAACGAATGTAAACTTTGTACGGATTATCTTGATATAAACTTTATGACACAAGTTTCTATAGAATAGATGGAATCTAGCTAACAGTGGAATCCAAGATGTGCGCTTCATCCGATCTTGGGACCTCTTAACTGGATACACCTTCACTCAAGAATTTATGTTCACTTTCGGATTTAATCCCAATAGATTTCACTTCAAATGCTAGCACATTGAACTAGTAAGTGTCTATCTGAACTCAGTAGCTAAGTGGGTACCGAGTTCTAGTTCATAGGTGAAAATTAAATCTAGGATACAGGTACATCCTAATTAAAAGTCCTAGATAAGACAAGAGGCTTGTTTTGGTTTCTATTGCTAGTTGGATTCCATATACTCTAATTTACAACCATTTATTACAAGACAAATCAGTATTCAAAGTACCTTCTGCGCCAACTAAATTGAATTCCAGATATATCAAACACAATCATTCTGTTAACTATGGTGTATAATATTTTAAGGACTGAATGAAATTCTTTACATCGGAAATCTTCTTCTTCTAACGTACAAAAGAAATCAGCCTAATTATGTTTAACAAAGCATATAAAGTAATTTCTGTCCTCCAGCATAAATGATATATACCATTGATGACTTAATTAGTAGCATGGTATATATACTCACATGTTATAATGAGTGACATAGATACTTAAAATGGTATTATTTGTTTCGACTAACAAACAAAAAGACAATGATTTTTAAGCTAATCTAGTTTGAGCCTAAAAGCTCAGTACTATACCAGAGTTTTAACAACAATAATAACGGATTAATTTAATGAGGTATTCTTGGAGTTAAACCGAAATATTGTGACAAGTAAATTTCAACCATATCAGATCTGCGGTAGTCACACATGAATAACGACAGGAGATGGTTTCTAGACATCATGTATTGGCTTAAGTTGAAAATTTAAACCAGTGTTTGCAAACTCACTGGTCTATGAATTGAGAAGTAGTGGGTTCTCATTGACAGGGTTCAAAACTAGGGCAAATGAACTATCCAGTGCATGCTACCTTTTGGTAATTATCTAAGTAACATCAGTACATCATGTAAACTATAAGTGTAGAGCATTATTAAAAGTCACTAATTGTAATACAGCTACATTTGTCATGGATGCACACTGCTGAGGAGTCCCACAATAGAACGAAACGCCTGTTCAGTGCTTCCAGTTTTTCTATCGTGGTTTAGCCTCAATTGACACATGATCTCAACTATTCAAATTACTACAATCTCCACACAAACCCCTTCTGATACAAATAAAAATGTATTTTAAAACAATCATTTAGTTAAGTAATCTATCATTTAAATTCACTTGGTGTTGTTTTACTTCCTTCTTCCCATTGTTATTTAGGACTGCAATTGATCAGTCTCATGTTGGCATATGTGCAGTTCTAAATAACAATTGGAAGGTACAAGTGAAACAACACCAAGTGAATTTGAACTTCATCCCATTGCACAAGCAATTGGATATCACAATTCATTAGCTAAGTGGACAACGCGATGACGTTTGAATCAAACGGTACTGGGTTGGAGCCCCAGAATGACCATCAACTCTGGAATGCAGGTAAATCCAGCTGTCGAGTAGAAAATAGGACGAAATGCGTGTCAAACTGAATTCCATTGCTAACCACTATCCATCTTTGATTAAAATCTATGATTTATTTATTACTAAATAGTCTAAAAACAAAATGGATTTTTCACTTTTTTTTGCAAAGCAAAACGCCTTGATTTGTATATACTCAACCTTGATGAAATAATAAAACAGTAATTCATTTAGAACACTGATACATTGTAACTTAACTAAATGCCATTCAGCAATAAAAAATTTCGAAAAACGATTCACACTGAATAAAACAAATTCCACAGTCGTAAACTGTAAGTAAAGTGGTTTAGTAAATGAATACTACTAACAAATTACAACACTCAGTTTAAAAATTATGGCCAACTGTACTTTTTTTGACAAAAATCAAACAAACAGACAAATTAACAAAATGTTGTTACTGATGATATAAAACAACAATCAGGGCCCGCCCTCTCTCTCGAAATGCTCTTACACAGCCACGTGCATACAACCACTTTCAGGGAAGTTCTACTCACTGCCTTCTCCCAACATTACTGTCCTTTACGAAATTGAGAGAATGAAAAATGGATGTCCGGCGATTTAACCGGGCCGGTGGACACGGAGAGTCCATCTAGGGGAGTCGTAAAACCCTAAGTCAAAACCAATGATGCACATGGGCCCCAGTATCCTGATGAAACAAATGGCGTATGAACCAATTGTTGGTCAACGGCTAGCATGGGACTGCATCTCCTTACGTTGCTCCATTGCCTTGTGGGTCAGACC